GTTAAAACCAAGAGTCGATCGTTCGTTCGGCGATTTTCTTTGACCCTGGCAATTTGGGTAAGTCGTAGGACGAAGGACAAGCATGGTTATCGAAAGTACGATCCCAGAAACTCTACGAAGCGTTAATCGAATCAACGACTTCCCGTTTGTCGATTCATCGATGTCTTTGTCAAGTTGGTGGACGATCGAAGGAAAGCTTCCCCCGTAGACTCCTTGACGCGATGGTTGAAAGTACTTTGCTTGTGGAAGGAATTGAAAATCATAAGACCCTCGGGGAAGAGAGAACAGAAGGAGGACCATTTTCTTCGACTGGCTCTCTTTCGAGAATATCGATTCGTTGAAAAAGAAAAAACTCTTTCTACGAGTTCGGTAGATAGATGTGCTTGTGTATATGTGTGAACAAGTCGAAAAGAAAGAACTAAGGGCGCGAAACAAGGGGTTGATGAGTGATAAAAGGAGATGAGAGAAAGGGAGATAAGAAGTAGAGAAAGTAGAGAAGGAATGACTCGCGATGGTAGTTAAAGGTGCAAGGAGTTCTATAACGAGGAAAGAGAGAATGAGAGAAAGCTTCAGGCTGTGGTATATCTGCATGGTTGGGAGGAGTCACGCAACAACGTGAACGACGTCGACAACGACAACAACGACAACGACAACAACAACGTCGACAGCAGGCTAAAGCGTCCAATGCTGCTGCTGCTACTGCTGCTGCTGCTGCTGCTGCTATTGCTGCTATTGCTGCTGCTATTGCTGCGAAGACGGTTTACGGGTGGTGGAAAGATGCTGTGAGCCGAGGGGACAGCTAAAAGAAAGGGCACCGGAAGAAGATAGAGAGGGTGAGCAAGAGACACGGACCCTCAAGCTGCAGGGCTTGATTGTGTACCGGAGACAGTGCTTTTGAAGGAGGCAGGAGAACCCTCTCAGACTACCATCGGAGTCGAGTGAGTCTCCTGTGACCCCCGCAACGAGACTGTGTCGACTACGCGACTACCTGCTGCTATATACAAGCTTTTCTCTCTCTCTCTCTCTCTGTCTCTCTCTCTCTCTCTCTCTGTCTCTCTTATTTCTATCTCTGTTTCTCTCTTCCTCCCTTTAACACATATATGAGAATATTACGTAGTATAAACATAAACATACGTCTCTACGTTTCGTCGTATTCGACCTTTCGCACATTTCTATATCTGTATATGTATATGTATGTATATGTATGTCCCTTACATGTTGGATCTTTCCGTCAACAAATGTTTCTCGCCTTAATCTTTGCTCCTCTCAACGTTGTCCTATTCAAGATGCTTTCATGAATGTAAATTAAGAAATAAATTAACGCTATCGTTTCCGAGGAGAAGAGAAAGCTTTGTAACGTGTTTATTCGTATTACGCTCTTCTACTATTCTCGCTCTCGTGTCTCACACTAATCGCTCATGTACACGTTGTCTACTCATGACACGATCCTTCTCTATCCCGATTCTATCGATCTTTCGACATATCCGATGCTTGTAGCATTAGGTACGATATCGACGAAAAATCGTTCGACCATGTGAATCGATTCTAATTCGGTACATTCGCATCTGTTAGCGAAAGAAACAAGTAACCATTTAAAATCCATTACATGCGGAATCGTAAGTTTAATTGTACTTAGCTTAATCCCTACACTGTATGCCACTTAAACCCCTTTAAATATACGCGAGCACGTTAGGCTTTTTATGTTTCTTACGTTTTAATGGAAAACGTAACGCACAATAAATATTTCTTAATGAACATTTCGAAAATTCAAATTCGTTTAAGTTAATTCTTTAAAAAGTGTCTTTCGATTTTAATAAATTTTATTCTACGCGACACTCTATATCCAACAATTATTATTATTATTATTATTATTATTATTATTATTATTATTATTATTATTATTATTATTATTATTATTATTATTATTATTATTATTATAGGAGTATTATTATAGAATAAATATGAGAAAAGATCTCTACGTATATCTAGATTAAAAGATCGGGTTGCAAAATAGTTTTTATCGTAAAAGACGAATGAGATGCGTACGTAGAAAGTAGAAAAGAGTATAACGTACTCGTACGTACGATGGTTGCTATTTTTTGTCTTTCTTTTTTCCAACTGTTCTTAATCCGTTCTTTGTTGGTATCGCAAAATTTTTGTCATGCTAGCGTACGCATTTTTATAACATACATACATATATATATATATATATATATATATATATATATATATTCTTTTTTTCTTCTATTAACGTCACTGAATAACTGAAAACAAATTACATATAATAATACCATACAAATCTGTCCCTTTTCAATTTTTCCAAAATTTCAAATAATTCTAAAAATGAATTGTTTATTGGCAAACAATTTTTCATTGTAACTGAATATAAAGAATGATGACGTACCTTGAGTAAATATTAATTATTTATAAATGAAATAATCTCAGGATTACCTATTTCGACTAAAATTTGAACAATAAACAATGGAGGAACTTTTTTTCTTGTTGGCTTTGTTTTATTTTTTTTTTCTTTTTTTTTTTTTTTTTTTATATTTTTATATCTTTTCTTTTTTTCATTTTGTATAAAGATAATAACAATGGGAATAACAAAGAAAGAATAACAATGGATGAAGAAAAAATCCGTACGCAGTTGGCTCGATTTACCATAAAAATCAAACGTGCCGTTCGTACATAGATAAAGTTGCTAGGCATTTCTAATTTGCAATAGCAATAAGTTTAACCTCGGCAGCTCGTTCGTTATTCCGCTTTCGATCGTTCTCTTTCCTCTTCGCTTGTCTCACCGCTCTTTAACCCGTTTTTACTTTCCTCCATGGATCTCGTTAGGTTTTTTTATTTGATCGTTTTGTTTCTCTTCCCTCTATCTGTCTCTCTCTCTCTCTCTCTCTCTCTCTCTCCCCTTTCCCTCTCCCTCTCCCTCTTCCTCTTTCCCTCTCCTTTTTCTCTTTCCCTTTCTTTTTTTTCTCTCGCACGAACTCATCCGGATTCTATCGAACCGTTTCCAGCTTTGCCCGGAGGAACAGGAGTTTTTGACATAGACCGTTTTGTTTGCGGATAATTTCACGGTGACTCTGGTTTCTCGTGAAAACGCTCCAATTAAAACTTCTCCTTTCGTTGTCGAAAACGTGACAGTACGATTTATAAAAAATTTTATGGCTTCCAGGGATTGTGTATTATCATCGTGGTTTCAAAAAAAAAGAAAAAAGAAAAAAAAAAAAGAAAAAAAGTTATTCAGTCAGTAGAGGAAAAGTAAGAAAAAGGTGGATTATCCGTCGTTGTTAGTAGTAGATAATAGTTATGGCTTAGGGGTTTCGAATTTCGAAGCCTTACATTGACGGTATCGTCTATCGAACATCCATTATAACTATCTACATACGTATATCCATCCTGTGACCAACATCAAGACTCTAATGGACGCCTACGCATATTTGTTTTCTTTTTTTTTCTTTTTTTTTCTTTTTTTTTCTTTTTTTTTCTTTTTTTTTCCCTTTTTTTTCCTTTTTTTTTCTTCCTTTCTCTCCACGTCGTTCTAATGCCATTCATCATCGATGTCCACGCAAAGAGTATCTACTGAAAATAAACGTATGCCAACCGCGATATTCAATCAACCATCGATCAATCGAACTTTTCTAGTGAACTTTTAATGACGCGTTATTCAAAGATCCTACTAGGTAGTTCAACCATTCGATTCTTTTGAAAAAGATATTCTCATCTATAATATTAGCTATCTCAGATATTTTTCGAAAATGGATAATATAGGTATATACGTTTGTAAATGTGTAAGTAGTTATCGTCGAACTATTATCGTCGCGCTACATGAAAATTTTATTAAAACGTAAATGATCGAACGAGAGGTCTCTTGTGATTCTTACAAATATTTTCGTCAAACGAAACGAGTCTTTCATTGCATCGTATATCCAAGTGTAAGAAATCTCGATTACAACGACATGAATACCAATAGGTATTGTATAATATGCGCTCGCCATTACGACGAACAAAGTCGTAAGAAGTAGATTAAGGTGACGGACTCGAAGGTGGAAACTGTCGACAGCGATGGAGGAAGACCAGCTACGGAAAGGACGAAGTAGTGGAAAATTTTTCATTGGTGTCAAAAGTTCGGAGTCCTGAAAGTTTAATTCCGAGTTCTCTTCTGCCATGTCTCACTCTCCACTTCTCTCTCTTTCTCTCTCTCTCTCTCTCTTTCTCTCCCCTTCTCTCCCCTTCTCTCCCCCTAGTCTTCCTTTCTCATCCTTCTTCCATGCGCGAACCTCGACGCCGCTTGAATGGAAAATCCTTCTTCTCCCTCCGTCTGTCTTCCTTCGCAGAGAGCTACCACCTTTTTCACCCCAACACTGCGTACTTTTTCACCCTTCTTCTCACGCCGTCACGAAGAAAGACGTTCCTTTTCCGTTCTGTTTGCGATTAAATTCGATGGAAAACCATCGATAGGAGAAGTCAATTCACCTGCGAAAAAACTTAGCTAACTTACTACAGATATATATATATATATATATATATATATATATATATATATATTTTTCATTCATAACGTGTATCAATTTTCTATTCGGGGCAAATATTTCTTTATTAGTTATTCGAAAACTAATCGCGAAAAATTCGCGTCGTTTCAAAACGACTACGAATCGGAGAGAAGTTTGTATCGTAATTGATACGAAAGTACTGTATAACATAATTCTTCGTAGGTGTTGTTAGTCGAAAAAAAACTAGTGTTCTTTTTTTTTTGCTTTTATGTGGGCCGAGAGCCGGATGTTTTGCAGCGATACGTCACGCTTGTTGCCACGAATGTTAGTACTCGTTTAAAACGCATTAAGGGTGAAACGAAGTTAGAAGTTCGGCTAGTTCCCACCATCTCTTTTATACTCTCGTTGTTCTTACATTACTTGCTTTTCGATCATCGTTGAAATTCTCTATGTAAGACGATAATTTTTCTTACTATCGATCTCCTTTTTCTTTTATTGTTACAGTGAGACCTTTGAGCGTGAGTATACTTAGCAGCGAACACGCACCACTCAGCGCAGATCGGAAATACAATATCAGTTGTATGACAGTCGGTTCAAGGCCACCGGCTAAATTATCCTGGTATATGGATCACAAAAAGATGGAAAATTATACGGAGAAGGTGAGGCTTTTTTCTTTCATTTTCTCTCTCTCTCTCTCTCTCTCTATCTATCTATCTATCTATTTATCTATTTATGTCTTTATTCCTATCTTTCTTTCTATTTTTTTTGTTGTATCTTCAAATGCTACTAAGGTAACATCTTCGAATTATTAGCTCTCTCCTTGCATTTTTATTTCACATCAAGCCTGGTATACTGTACGATATATGTAGAGGAGTAGAAAACGAAGCGGGTAAAGAGGCACGTTTTGGCGTAAAACATTTCCGAGCTGTGAAAGAAAGGTTACGACCCACATTCAACGCGCTCGTCATCATTTTCTCCTTACGAACATTCCAAAGGTACAAGGAGAATGATCGTACCGTAAAGCGAAGGGGAACTTCGAATAGGGCCAAAGTTCGAATGCGCGCGCGCGTACACTATCGCTTCTCGAGACGGCCAAAAAACGTTCGGTCGACGAACGAACGAAACATGAATTCTACCCTCGATCGTTCTCCACGAAATCACAGGCATTAGCAAGCTGGGTATCGGTATTTGCATCGTCGCCATTAAGAACTCCCTCCAACACGCCATGCTGCAATTACTGAATAGAAACGATGTTTTCGCGATCTATTCTCCTCCATTTGTCTTATTTTCCTTCTTTTCTCTTGCCATTAACGTGACCTACCTCTTGAGACAGCTTTAATCGTTGTTACACTTAGAAAAATAGAAAAAAAATAAGAGATGAAACATAATACTCTTTATAAGTAACATAAATGAGATTTCGTACGAGTGATCGGTTCTTTTTCTTTTGTCTTTCTCTTTTTCTCCCATTTCTCTTCGTTATAAAGACTCGTTGATTTTTATTTCGATTAAATGACGAGAATTCGATTCGTTGTAAACTAACCCACACGTTGACCTGATCCGTCGTATCGCATCATAATATCTGACTGTAGGAACAAGTTGATAGCGATAGGGAATTATACCGATGGCACGTTCACAATCGATAGTGAGTCGAACGAAACGTGTCCGCATAGTTGGCAGAGGCAGCCAGGTGATTCGACTTTCTCGATTTATGGTCGGTCGTACGCGCGAATTTCGCTTCAATTTCAACCTGAAATTCCTATCGCGCGAATAGTAAAAGCTCGATTCGTTCGATAGATGCCAGAGATCGCGTACGATCGATAGATTTTACTTCCATTGAGCATGCGTTCGTTTCGAGTGAGAGATTTGTAAGTAAGACAACGAGGAAGGATCGATATCGTTATGGCAAAAATTCATTCGAATAATCCTACCATTTATTATTTGCTTAGTTGTATATTTATTTTCTTTTTTTTTTTTTTTCTTTTTTTTTTTTTGGATACCATTCTGGCAAAACAATTCTCTAATTACAGTATTAAGAGGATTACTAGATTTAGGATTACTCGCAAGAATTATTCACAAGAGGGCAAATGATAAACGCCTCCTTGGCCAACTTCGTCCGGTCATTAAGACTTATCGCCGGATTAACGCTTGGCTTATAAGCCGTGTAAAGTCCGAATCGGCCTTCCTTCCCTACGTTATCTTTCACAAAGTAATTATTCGACTTTGTTCGTTGTGCGTCGACGTATCTCATCTCTACCTGCCGTTTTTACCTTTCCCTTATCCTTCGTTTTCCTTTTTACTTCTATTTCCTTTCCTCCCACGACTTTGTTACATATCACGGATCATTGATACAAGCCCGATTTCATCACGAACTCGAGTCGATCGAGACGAAAGAATAAATTTCTTTCTTTTTTAATCGAGCAATACAAATTTCAATTTTTTTTCATTATAAACAAAAAATATATTCATTGTCTCTTAGGTATCGGCCGATGGGAATATGACAAGTTCCATCTTTACCTTCAAGCCTACCCTAGACGATCACAACAAAATATTGGCCTGTAGATCTGAGAATAACAAGGTTCATAGTGGCGTCGTCGAGGACACCTGGAAACTAAACGTTTTCTGTAAGTATTCGTAAATGCAAATATATTTCTTCAAAAGATCTCTCTCATCGGTCTAACGACGATATTAATGTCGAGCGTACGAGAAAGAAAGGAGGAAAATAAAGGGGAAAAAAAGAAAACAAAAGGAAAAAAAGGAAAAGAGAGAGAGAGAGAGAGAGAGAGAAGAAAGAGGGAGGAAAAAAAAAAGTAAACGAGAAGCATATTTTTCATATACTAATGGATATGAGTACGCTCGGGACAACATCTCTCGGCAAAGCAACTAACATTGCAGAAATCCGTGTTTGCGTTCGGTCGACATTTCGTCCGAGATATGTGTTTCTACGTATCTCTATATATGCTTTACCTGCAATATGCGTGTGTATAACTACACGACAGTTCTATCTATCTACGTACGTATGCACGCATAGAGACGCAAAATGTATCTAGATATCAACGAGGTAAACGAGTTAAAAGCGTTGCATGGCAGTTCGAAACGAGGTCGTCGATATAGATTACGTCGAGCTAACGGGAATGTAATCGCAATAACGAGACGTCAACGAGACCCGAAATGGAATGGCCGAGCTACAACTCGATGCGCTTCGATTTATTCGGGACTTGTCGCAATTCGTCGCGATACAAAGATCACTCGTTCGCTACAAGTAATGACGGCTTCGAGCGCTCTGTCATTCACTCTATCTACCGTTATCACGCTTTGAAAAAGAATTCTTTTAACGATAAATAAATCGTCGAACATTATCGAATCTTGATCAAAGGATAAAAAAAGGGGAAAATGCTTTTTGACGTGAAACTTAATATCTATCAAATATTAAAAATTGATTTTCTTTTTTATATATCATATAAGTATTTAGATATACTTATCGTAGAAAATATAAGGTATAATTTAATGGTTATACATGATAAAAGTTTCTGGGCTTGTGTGATTTTGTGATATCTGAAAAAAAAAGGAAAAAAAAAAGAAAAATGAAAAATAAGAAAGTTGATCTAAAAAAGAAAAATCTCGAAAAAAGTATAGATAATTGATTTAAATAGAAAACAAATCATAAGAAATTTTCTTAAGAAAACTATAAATTAAAATCTAAAAGGTATTTAAATGAAATCAAATGATGAAAAATGATAAAATAAAATGAATTTATTAAATTACAGTATCTGTTTTAATTTAATCGCGAGATTTTCCTTTGACAAAATAATTAAAGAAGAAATTTCTATTTCCTTGACATATCACATCGTACATGATATAATTACAAATTCTCGATGTAACCCTCTGTTATCTCATTATACTCTAATATGTACAAGTAGAAATGTGTAAGCAGCTTAAGACAATCACATTGACAATTACATTGAATTTTTTCTCTTTTTTTTTTTTTTTTTTTTTTTTTTCTTTTCAGTCGTTCCTACCTTACAGTTGGAGCTTGGTACCAACATGAATCCCGACGACATAGAGGAAGGCGACGATGTCTACTTTGAATGTAAGGTTCATGCGAATCCCTGGGCTTACAAAGTCGTCTGGAAGCACAACGTAAGTCGATCCCACGGGAATTTGTTTCTATCTTATCGTATAGACCAATGCAAACGTACATACATATAAACGTATGCATAACAGTTATATAGTTCTAGAATAGAATAGACATTTAGCTCTTTACGACAAGTAAAGATTTAACAATGAACCCTTTTAACTCATTTATTTTTTCCTCTTTTTCTTTTCTTTTTTTCTTTTCTTCTTCTTTTTTTCTTTTTTTTTTTTTTCTTTTTTTTTTATATCTTCTTTTCAAAATCAAAAGAACTTCTTCATAGTTATATTTTTACATATCTTTTCTTTATACGTACGTTCGGTATACGTAATACGGTCTACATACATAATTATCCACATCATTATACTATCTTTCTCTTTGTCCTTTGCTCTTTACCATTTACCTTTTTTATTTTTTTCCTTTCTCCTTTACTCCGTCGTTATTCACTGCCTCTCTTAATCTTGAACTTTGGTTTTAACTACGCGCCTATCTATTTTCCTTTGTAATAGTCTTCACGTTCGGTTACGAAAGCTCTTCTATATGTAACTACGATCCTAGAGAAATTCTCCTAGAAAATGTAATCCTTCGTACCTTCGAGAATATGAGCGAATGAGACAAAGATAGATAGATAGTAAAGGTGAAAGGGAGAGAGAGAGAGAGAGAGAAAGCTTTGTCACGAAAATGATCTTAGTCTTCTATTCGATGTTACGCGTGCCTCCTTCGCTTTCCACTTCGTTGCATTGCTCCGACCCATTTTCTTCTCTTAGACTGTTCCATTCGTCCTCGTATCCGCTTCTGCGCTTCTTACCACGTTGCTTTTCGCGAAAAGCGTAACCTACTCTCGATACTTTTCCTCGCAGATTTCCGATCTAATCTCGATGTCAATGCTTCGTTCCAGGGCAACGTCATTCAGAACAACGCGAAGAACGGCGTGATAGTGCAACAATACGATCTCGCTCTAAGAAAAGTCAATCGTTCCCAGGCCGGAAATTACACCTGCGTCGCTAGCAACGTCGAGGGCGATGGTTATAGCAATATCGTCGAGCTCAAAATCATGTGTGAGTTTTTCTTGTTCTTTTATTTTTGTCTTTTTTTGTTTTTTCCTTTTCCCTTTCTTTTCACATTTTCTTTCTTTTCTTGCACGCGTCGCGCGAAAAATGAAAGGAAAAAAAAAAAAATACAATGAGAGAAAAAGAGAAAGAGAGAGAGATGAAATTACTATGGTGTCGTTTACAATTTTTCGATACATTTTAATGAAATAAAATGAAATTGTTCGAAATTTTATTAACGAACATTTAATACAATCTGTAATGATCATATTTCATTTATGTGTTCTTAACTTTCTTTTGTAATTGAAAAAATTATTTGTTACATATCTGCCGTAATATTATCGGTAACAGTTCGAATTCTACTCGAGGTCTATCTTCTTGAATATTATTAACTTTTGTTCGATAAATTTTAGTATTAATCAATTTTCAAATGAAGAAGTTAAATCGAGTGAGCACATTGGCCATAATCTTTGCGAATTTTTGACTATCCACCTACTAGGGAAGATTTCATTCAGGTGATCTTGTACATTGATTGCAAAATCGGAGAAAAACACAAAGGTACGAAAAATTCCATTGTCCATTAATTGCGACTCCAGAAAGTGTTATAACATATCGAGATAACCATTACCAATAATCGTTTTTTCTACCAACAAGAAAGGACCGTATATATTCGACTCTACGTGAAGTCCAATCAATTTTTTTTTTTTTTAACTTATCTCTTTTATCTCATAGAAACGAGAATTAGTTACGTTTTCACCAAAATGGATCGAAACTTCATGGACACCATATATGTAATCAAATAGTTTATTATTTGTAATTTAAGATTATTAGCTATTTTTTCTTATGAAGATATATGTATCGCGCCTAAAAACAGGCAATACATCGTACTTCGCTGATAATTAAAGCCCCTGTATTTAGATACATGAACTCTTCACTACATTCATATATGTACATAGGAATATTTTGCCTACTATAAGGGGTTATGTTTGGAATTAATATTGGAATTAAGGAGAGTATAAATGATCTATACCGTTAATGTTAAATTTACTAACTTTATGACCCATTTTCTCAAAAACTATTGCATACAATTTAATGAAACTTTGACAGGTCACTTATATATACATGAACTTTTTCCTTTAATTTAATTAATTTACGTATGATAGGAATTAAAATGGAATTTTTTTTCATATAACTTTTTTACATCTCTCCCCACAATTTTTGGAAAATTTTATTGGAAATATACATACTATCTTTATCATTCTAGAAATATAGTATTAAGAGAATATTATAAATGAATTGTAAGAAAATAAAGAGTCAACTGTTATATAGTCTCTAATAAAAAACGAGTCATTTATTTAATAAAAGGAAGTTTTTTCAGAAATTGTAATTAAAAAGTAATTTAAATAAAAACTCGATTTTTCGGAAAAAATGGGGAAAATCGCGTGCATGTTTTAAATAGAAAATTCAACAATGATGACAATTCTACCAACGTATCAAATAAAAATACCATTATAATTAAAGATGAACTATACGATTTTGTAGATTTTCTTAATAGACCTTTTAGACATTAGTCCCGTAGTTCTTGATAATTTATATAATCAAAAAATAACCAATTAAATAAAATAATATTAAATATTTTTTCCAATCAACAAAAATAAATGGATCATTCATACATCAAATTAAATAACATATTTCAAATATTATTTTCACATAAAGAAAAAAAATTAAAAAAAAAAAAAAAAAAAAAACTAATAACTTTCAAGAGAAAATGGTCATTTATACTCGCCTTAAGAATTACAGACCCATCATTTTCGATTAATTTTGTAAAAATATTCATCTCTCATTTAACGAACCTATTCAATTTTCGTCTTTCATATCATACTTCTATTAGTTTTGCAAAAATTTCTTTTTCAAAATATTTTATTTTCAATATATTTTCTTTTCACAGATACATAAATATATATATATATATTTTGATATATATATATATATATATATATATATATATATATATATATATATATATATATAGATAGATAGATATATATGTATATATATCAAAAATAATAATTAATTATTTACGTACGCATTTCTCAAAAAAGTGAGAGAACGCGTTAGCGAGAGTCACTAACGTACAATGTTGGCCGCAAGCGGTAAAGTCACCCAGTCGAAAAGTCGTTACGGTTATTCGTTAAAAACACGATGACGAGCGGTGAATTCGCGAATGGTAGGTGGAAGAAAGGAAGGAAAAACAAAAAAAAAAAAAAAAAAAAAAGAACAACAAAAAAAAAAGAAATAAAGCGATCGCGAGAGCAAACCGACCAACTCTCGAAAGCCCGTCCTGCTGGCTGCCGTACGTACACGAAAAATGGCAAAACTATTGGAACGAGCCGGGGAATAACGCCCATCGATCTTCCCTTCGAAAACGCGCGAAAGCGTGGTCACTCGGCCACGCGTCGTCCTTTTCGCAGTTTTAATAAATGCGCGTAAACTGTACTCGCAGTGGTCCCTCTTTAACGTATCGCGTCTCGATTTTTCTTTCGGCTCTTTTCCAAGGACAATACATGGTAGTGTCTGACAGTAAAATAGAAGAAGAGTCGAAAAAAAAAAAAAGAAAAGGAAAAAGAAAAAAAAAAGAAAAAAAAAGAAAAAAAGAGAGGGGGTAAAAAGGAACGTAGAAAGGGAAAAAAAGGAACGTAGAAAGGGAAAAAATGTCAGAAGAAAGGAAATATGGTGAGGCGGGGGATTTGGTTTTTTCTTTTCGCAGACAAGCCAATCTGCGTGGCCGAACAAAAGCGCATATATGGAGTGGCACGTCACGAGGACGCCGGGGTGGTCTGCAGGGTCGAAGCGTATCCACCTCCCGAAAGCTTTCGGTGGGCCTTCAACAATACCGAGGAGATGGTCGACGTGCCCCAGGCGCGTTACAAGAACTCCACTCGACACAGCCAAAGCGTCCTCACATACAGACCGGTCACGGAAATGGACTATGGCACTGTGCTTTGTTGGGCAAGCAACACTGCCGGCCAGCAGAAGAATGCTTGCATATTTCACATCATACCCGCGGGTACGTACATTCCTACCTAACTCATATACGTACTTACATAAGTGTGCATCATGCTCAGCCCCTATCTTCTCGAGCCACTCGTAAGACGAATCTACAGTTTCACGAGGAAAAGTTATGGCAACACTCGAAATGTTCGCTCGTTCGCGAAACCTCGCGGCAAAGCGTCACGTTCCGCGGAGATTATTCCAAAAAAAGTTTACTTTTAAATATCGCACGTTTTTCTTTTTTTCATAATCTCCCTCGAGTCCATATGAAAAATTTACTTATCGTTCATTTCCATTTATCGTTAATATTATAATATAGGAATAAAGAAATATTTAATCATTTTCCTTTCTGATCATCAGGAAAACCAGAATCTCCTTACAATTGCACGCTGACCAATCAAACAACCCAATCACTTTCGGTGGAATGCACCGCCGGTTTCGATGGTGGTCAACCGCAACATTTCTTTCTAGAGGTGTTCGATCAAGAAACGGGTATTCTACAAGCGAATGTTACCAGGGATAACCCTCAATTTACTGTACAAGGGTTGGAACCGGGCAAAGTTCTTAACATGATATTGTACGCCGTGAATGCGAAAGGAAGGAGCGAACTGATCTTGCTCGAAGGTTTTACTTTAAAAGTGGCCGAGAAGCAGACCGGTAAGTTACTTCGGAAGCTTTTGCTATTAACATTAGAGACCTTAATCGAGAGATAATGAGTAAGGAGTTTTGAATAGGACTCGTTGTAGGAAAATTGAGCAGCTTAACGACGAGTAATGAAATTTCTTTGAACGAGATTCTACCAGAGAAAGAGATAAAGACTAGTAAAGATAGAGAGAACAAGACAAAGAGAGAAAGAGAGAGAGAGAGAGAGAAAGAGAGAGAGAGAGAGAGAGAGAGTGAGAGATAGAAATTGTAGAAGGTTTTACGAGAAACAACTATAATCGGTTGCAAAATCGAACACAATTTACATGTAGACCAAGTTCTAAGTACTTGAGAAAATAGAGCACCGAGTCGATCTCTTGCTTGCATTCATCCAGTGGATTACCGGCCAGTGGAATTCTCGTCGTCGGTGTACAAATCTAAGCTACATAGGCTATACGAACTATAGTACGAGCGAGGATCCACTGCCGGCGGATATACTCGGTAGCTCGTATATATCGGCTCCGAGACGAATTTACAAGTGAAATTGCTCTCGGTCAGTTTTCCGAGCGTCGAGATGCGATTCAGCCAAGTGCCTGAGAGACTGTACGCGCGTGCGCATACTCGCACGAGCCAGTTTCCTCGCACCTTTATCCATAGACACCTTTATGATATCGCATCGATATATTCATGACTCTCGATGTTCTCTCTGTCTATCTTCGATTAGATATCTATACTTGTATATACGTGATATATATATATATATATATATATATATATATATATATATATATATATATATACTTAAACCCAAGAGAACCATTCAAAAATCGATCAATTTTATGCGAGCGTGCACAAAAGTTGAGGATAAAACTTTAATAAAATTTCCTAACTGTCGACATCAAGTCATACAAAATTTCGCATTATTCCGCTTGATAAAATATCTTAAACGAAAATATATATCTTTTAGCATCATCTTCCTTTATCATGTATATGTATATATTCTTCTTTCTTTTTTTTTCTTTTTTCTTTTTCTTTCTCTTTTTCTTTATTTTTTCCATCCTCTCCCCTTTATCTTTTTATTTTTTTTAATCCAATAAAGAACTACAAATTTGATTACATCGTCATTTAATAACTTTAGCAAAATCTTCGCTCCGGGGGATTCGTTAAACTGGAAAAATTTAACGATCGATCGATCGTACCCGAAACCTTAAGAATCTTCAAATATATTTCTTTTTTCTGGTTCACCCTCGTAGATGTACGTAAAGTGTGGAATACCTCGTAACTATCTTATTATCGCTTCGATCGTTACGGCTTAATGCGTCGTATCGTTATCGTATTCTCGCTCTTCGTGAAAAGATCCTATTAAAAAGGCCGCACTTTTAAGGAAAAATGAAAAAAAGAAAAAAAAAAAAAAAGAAAAGAAAGAAAAAAGAAAAAATGAAAGTATGATCGCGAACGAATCTACAGTTAACCTAGAGTTTTTGAACACCGATTAAGAATCATCGATAATAAACGAGACGAAACGAGATGATTGACCTCTTAACTTACGATTTCATTAAAATTCATTGTCTATTTAATTTTGTTAAAGACGTTGATCGCCGTTAATAGTGTCCCTAATTTGTTAATTAAAACTCGTTAAGTAATACGTTCGAATAAGCTTAAGCCGTCGTTGTACGTTTTAAAAAATAAAATGGCACAATGCTCGCATTAATGAACGTACAAATATTTAGATCGAAACAAATTAGAAAAAAAAAAACAAAAAAAAAACAAAAACAAAAAACAAAAAACAAAAAACAAAAAAACAGGAAAAAGAAAAAAGTATATCTGTAAGAATTAAATCGTAAGAATTTCCAAAGACGTACTTGCACGAGAGCAGTGCGCGTTTTGTTTACAGGTACTCCGGTGCCGTTCGAAATAACACCTCTGTTAGCTGGTCTTATCGGTGTAGTTAGTGCCATGCTTTTAGTTACCGGGACAATTTTAGCAGCACTCAAAGTACGAAGCGAGAGACGAGCTCAGAGACCAGGTGATTTGCCCTTGAAAAAAGCTACAGCACCCAGTTCCGAGGATCTTTACGATGCAGATGATAGAAATCCAGACGTTGTGCCAACTAATAAAGGTATGCATATATGTATGTCTTCTTTAACTATGTCTCTATTTATATGCGTGTTTATGTACATACGTAAGTACCTATATTTTGCTTAGGCAAATAATATTCGTAGATCGATCGATAATCGGTATATATCGAATCATAAAGTGCTTACTCGTTCTACGTGCACGGATTTTCTAGTACATCTAACTAGTACATCATTTATTTGATACATCGTACGCATAGCTTATATCCTAACTTCCTAAATCATAAGCTATATATGGACTTCCAGAGCTCATTATAGTTTCTCGGTAATAGATTTATATCGAAGAGGAAAGCTTGAACTTTAGATCATTATGGCTTTCTAGAGGATTATAGTTTTCAACAAATAATGTAAAAAAGGAATAAGTAGAACATATGTTTTATGACATAATCAATATTAACAATGAAAATGAAGATGGTTCGCAATCTTCGATCTACTAAGGATATTTTATATATAATAAAGAGATTAAAAATGAGACATTGTTATCTAATTGGAATAAAAGATTCAGATTATCAATTGACTGGATCAACCTCGGGTACGCCATTGGCAACGCAAGATACACCGGATGGTTTACCACCGTCTTCACTTCCAACGCAACAGAACAATCATCTTCAAGGACTTACCGGTTACAACGAATACAACAATTATCCAACCTTACCGGTAATTATTGTTAAAAATATTTTCCTACTCAATAACGTAAACGATATTTTATTACAATATTAAACAATTATATACAATCTTTACAATCTAGATTTTACCTTTTAAAAATCTTAATATTTCGAAATTCTCGAGAGCGACGTCCTCTCTAGTCGAGTTTCCATTGAAGACACAAATATCCCGATATTTTCTATTAAAATCTTTTCAGTGTCTAAAAATGATCTATCCACTTCGCATTTGTGTAAAGAAATAACTTTAGGCCATTAAAAGATAATAATTAATTGACTATTAAAATACGATTCGAGCTTTTAGTTAATTAGTTGAAATAAACGCAAAAAAAAAAAAAAGAACCGAATTCGTTAGTAAGAGAATATAAAAGTATTCATATACTCACGATAATACATATCAGTAACGATCGATAAGTATCTTTTTCAAAAAATAAACATTTTAAAAATGAAGTTTCTCTTAATAAAAGCAGAGCCCTCGAATGTGAATCTTTCTTTCCAAAAAGAGAGAGAGAGAGAGAGAGAGAGAGATGAATAATGATCACTTATATCGAAAATACGAAATTGAATATTCTAAAAACGAAATTCGTAGTTTTTGTATATATCACGACTTAACTAAATTTTATTCGATCCTCCAAAAATCCGGTTCGTTACCTTTCGTTTATTTTTTCTTATTGCCAACTAATCGATCCTAACTTTCCTCTTCCAATTTCGCGGCAAATTAATCGTGGCGAGCGTCTACGATATGGATTACAAAAAAAAAAAAGAATCGAAAGAGAAAGAAAGAGAGAGAGAGAGAGAGAGAGAGAGAGAGAGAGAGAGAGAGAGATGAAATTCCATAGACGAAAACTTTGATTATGCTTCGATAATTTCCTTGTTTTGTTCGTATCGACCGACCTTCTCCATTTTCCATTGGGCGCTCGAATTTCTTGCTTATTCGGGATGAGAACGAACGAACAAACTCTAGCAAGCCGTTCCGCTAGGTAGGTTGGTAGGTAGCTGCTTCGAGAAGAATTCCAGAAGTCTGGAATTTCGAAAGTGGACGCTCATTAGCAGGAAAGTTTCTCTTCTTTGCTTCGAATCCAAGTCCTTGGCGGAACTGTCGAAAATAATCGTATCTTTCGGGGATTATCATGGCGGACTTCGGATGAACTTTCGAGAAAATACTATCATCTATAAGAGAAAAAGAAAAAGGGGAAAGAGGAAAAAAAAAAAGAAAGAAAAAAGAAAAAGGATAAAGAAAGTAATCATTGGTAGACGTTTGAAGGTAAAGTGCAGATATACGTATTCTCGCGCTCGACTTTCTTTTTCTCTCACGGTTATTTAAATTATTCCCGATCTTTATCTTTTTTCCCGTACGTATAAATGGGATCGTTCTTTTTCCATTCCTTTTCATTATATTATATTATCTAACATTTTTAAATAAATGAGATAATCGGATAATTGTGTAATGCGATACCGTATGAAAAAATTTTCTTTTACCCGTAAGAAATTGATTATTAAGAAGAGTAAAGATAACGAAAAGACGATAAGATAAATTAGAGATTTAATTTGTAATTTATATCTATATTTATATTTATATTTATATTTATATTTATAGTTATCCGGGGAAGTGACGTATGCAGAACTTTGCTTGGCGAGGCCAACTACCCTATCGACTTTGGGAACAGACACGAAGCTAGCGAATTTAGGAAGCGTTACCGGTCTCGGAGGTCTTCAGGGATATGGAAGCGGTGTTATCGTTGGCGGAAAGTCGTACGCAAAGGAGGCCACGGTATACGCTTGCATAGACCACAGCGCGAGGCCACCGAAAATAGACACGGTGAAGAGTACATCTTCATGCGGTAGTACGCCGCTCTCGACGATGAGCGGACTTCTGCATGATTCGACGGTGACCGGAATGACTGGTATCACCGGATTGACCGGTACTACGAGCAAGCATCCGGCAAGGGAAGTCGTCACCGTTCGCACGCCACTTATTTCGAGCCAGGAAAGCTGCGTATAGGGACGCGATTCCGACGCGCTCGGCGTTAACGAATATTACGTCTGATATGGCCGCGTCGCATCCCACGCCAATGAGTCTCCTCCGAACCAGGAGCCGTTCAAATACATACCGCAAATTGCTACAACAGGTATGCCAGTAGCCAACCACACGACACATCTTCTTATATTCTTATTAGTTACATTCTTTCTCCGTGCGTCGCCTAAAATTCATTCCCAGCTCTTTCTTAACAGAGAACGTTTTTATCCCCATCCGATCTTTCCCTTTCCATTCTTCTTCTGATTCTAATATCTTCGGCATTATGACAATGACGACGACGACGACGACGACAATGACGACGATAATGACGACGATGATGACAAAAGACAAATCTATTTCACGTTACATCGATCCCAAGATTCTTTGATAATCTTGCGTGCCTAATGTACACGCCTATTAGCATAGGTACATACTTATGTCTCTTTGCCTAAATTAATTAATAAAAAAAAAAAAAGAAAAAAAAAAAAAAAAATAACGAGATATAAATGCTATGGAGAAATGTTGATAAGAAGATGATTTTTAGATCGGCTTCTCGTACAATTTTCACGAGAGATCAAAGCCTATTTTTTGCGCGACTCGATATGCTTTTTTCGTTTTCGCCGCAACAACGAGGTCGATGACGACAACGACGACAACGACGACGACGACGACTTAGACTGTTACAACTATGACTATGACTACGACTACGACTACGATGATTAAAATGACGATCGTCGCCCTTCATTGGACGCGGAAAAAACGCGATATTTGAAATTTGCGGACGGACGTGCTGTCCTATCGACTGATGACGAACGCGCACAACGTCGAAACTGGCACGGAAGCGACGCGGTCGTTCGCACGATAGATACCTATATATGTATGTATCTATATAAATGGTATATGCAGAGATGAATTTTCTTATTTGGAACATTTTGCGATCGGTAAAACTCGGCGCCGTATGTTACGACGTGTATCGTATGCACGAACGTTAACGGGTGTCCATTATCGTACGAATCTATCAATCTTTTTCCGCGTATATCCAAACGCGAATTTTGTAAATACCTTGTACATAACGATGCGACGAGTGAGGGGATGAAAGAAAAGTTTAATTGTATGACGAATAACAAAGACAGAGACGAAGGACTGTCGTCGATATGGTTCTCTTCGCGACAAGACAAATATGGACGAATGTAATAACACGTCGCGATCCGATGCAAATTGGTACGTTGGAAATTTTTCCATGACAATAATTTCTTTTCGTCGATCACTCTTAACACATTGTCCAACTCATATCCGCATGTTTCTACGCGTTTCTCAATGCCGCTCGTTACGTTTACTCCGATCGACTTATTCCTCGATCGATCATTAAATTTTTACACACTCGAATCTCAATCGACTTCGTTAGATAAAAAAAGAAAAATAAGAAAAAAAAAAGGAGAAAAGAAAAAAGAAAAAGGAAAACGAAAAAAAAAAAGAAAAGAAGAAAGAAAAGGTAAGAAAGATTTGCTCTTTCACCGACTCTCTCGACTGCTCGCGACTGAATTACGTCAATGTACACAAACGATATTCGTATAGTGCGAAAAGGACGTCGAAACGAGGACAAGTTCCTTCGTTTTATTCACCTTTATCCATTGTAATATATATTCTCCTCCGATGTACAGCGCCGATATTTTTTCAAAGTGCGCGTAAGCGATACCTCCGCGCGATGTGAATTGAGCAAAGAGGCGATAATTACGGAAAGAAAACGAGTGTATAATTAATAAACGTTCGAAGTAAATTTAAGCAGAGCAAATATAAAGATATATTATATATATATATAAATATAAATATAAATAAATATATATATATATATATATATATATGTATATATATATATATGTATGTATGTACATGTATGTACGAATGTGCGCGCGTGCGTGTGTGTGTGCGTGTATGCGAGTATGCATGTATACATGAAAAGCAGATGCGAAATTATATTATCGGTGGAGTGCCGATCCTTCCGACGTATAATTCAAAATACGTGTACTGCTGGCATTGAAGATTAAGTGAAACATCGATTTTACTTAAAAGCTCGTTTCATATAATAATCATGTTATTCTCATTTTCTTTCCATCTCGAAGTTTCACCGAAATAATCGGAGAGATATGCGATTATTGATTCATTGAATTATTTTGTCCAACTATTCATCAGGATAATCGGTGCTCCACTATATACATATATATATTTATTCCACGTGCGTGCGAATGCACGAAAGACTATCGAGATATTTGCGAACGAGTACGAGCCAGTACGAAGGCAACAAAGTATAACGAGTTTATCTTCGCCAGTTTTTATATTTTTCATTCGACATCGATACCTCGTAATTTTTTTCCGTCGGCCTCTTTTTAATGATAATATCATCGTACGCTTACTGCAAAGCTTCGAACTTTTAAATACGTCTATCTTTAGAATTCGATTAGTTCGATTAATTCGAGTTTGAATTCTTCGAATAGTTTCTATCGACTCGTCCGAAGAATCGATCTCGTTATTTCTTTTTTTTTTTTTTTCTTTCTTTTCTTTTCTTTTCTTTTCTTTTCCCCCAATAGATAAATCATTTAACATGTATCATTATCGCTATGCACAATATGGAAAGGGAACAAGGCGAAAATATTTTTCATCGTAATTTGTCACAAACATTTCAATATTTTTGGTTTACCGCGATAGATCGTAGGAACAAGAAGGAAACCGATGAATATGCAATGTAATGCGGAGTCAGTGTGCATACAGTTTAAAAGGGATCAAGAAAATACACGAGATGACAACCTACCCACGTACATCACTAAATTTCGTTTCATTGCCTTTTATCTGGGAATAATTTTAATACTAAAATATTATTCCTCTTAACGTTCAAAAAACACTTTGAATATTCCGGACTCCTTTATCGTTGTTCGGACTATGAAAAGGAAACGCTGAATATGCAATTCAAAGAAAGCCGATGTGTACGTCTGCATGCGCGCTTGCGAAAAATATAGAGGGAGAAAAGGAAAAAGATAGAACGAGATACATAAAGAGAAAGAAAAAAGAGAGAAAGAGAGACGGAGAGAGAGAGAGAGAGAGAGAGAGAGAGAGAGATAACGAGAGAGAGAGAGAGAGAGAGAGAAAGAGAGAAACTAAGGTAAAGATCGAAAGATTGCTACGTGTAAAAATGATTTTAAATGACGTTACACTTACATAGGTATATGCATACTGCACGTTTAAATACATATAGTTAAACTAGATATTGAACATTAGATTTAAAAATAATTACTATGCGCTGTTAGTCCCTGTGAAAATGGCTGGGAATTATTAAAGGTCGAAGAGATATGAGAAACTCGGCCGCTAACGTCCCAACTATATTTCTCGGAGTTGAAAGTTCCAGAAATAGAGTCACTAGGTCGGCGAAGCCAGGCTTCATTCGCTTTTTCATCTCATCAATGTACTCAACGAGAGATTGATTTCAAAAGAGATCACCGGTCCTGAACAGCCGTAACCCATTTGCCAAATCATTTTGGATTTAAAGGTCAATTTCGAAGAACGCTTATGAATTTTTACGTAAATACCTATGAATATGTGGCATACTGCACAAAATCGTAACTCGCGGAATCGTAAAAAAAAAAGTGACAATACTTATCTGACAGTTATTGATACAGGCGGATAATTGTGTTTCTTCTCTCTTCGTCCGTCTCTTTATCTTTCTATCTCTCTCTCTCTCTCTCTCTCTCTCTCGTTTTCCTTTTTTTTTTTCTTTTCTTTCTGTCTATCTCCTTTTTGTTTTTGCGCGAATTCGCGTTATGAATGCGATCATTTGTGTCCTTCAGTTTTTGTTCCTGCGTTTCTAGGATTTATACGAATCGAAAGAGATCCTATAATATGTTACACTTTTTTGTAACATCCACGGACGAGTATTATTATTCTCTCTAACAAACTACATTTCCACGGAGCGTGTTTGTCACGATGTTATCATTACTATTATTCATCCTTATCGTATGTCACACACTGTCGTCCTTAAATTAATAATTTTTCTACGCGAAAGCTGTGCGCAACGGCATAGATTTTTTATATAATTATACGTCAAAGTTCGTCTACGAAGCGAAGACGCGTGCATGAGTGCGTGAGTGTATGTGTGAGAAAGAGAGAGAGAGAAAGAGAGAGAGAGAAAGAGAGAGAGAGAGAGAGAGAGAGAGAGAGAGAAAGAGAGAGATAACTGGTAAAAGAAGAAAAATAAAAAAAAAATAGTCGTTCGAAACGTGTGTCCACGCACGAAATTTTGCGCTTCCGTTTACGTTTCCCAATGTCCGAATTGAACTCTCGACGAGTGAAACGTACGTGCGCTGAAAATTGAAATTACGACGACCATATTATGTGTATTTACAATAATTATAGATCTCTCTCTATAAATATATACACATCAGCATAATCCGAATAAACGTGTTGATATGAAAAGCCATGTTGATCATCGCGGTTTAGCTATCGGCCGCTTTTGCAATGACGGATATATCAAACATGCTTTTAATTTTGTCTATATAGAACACTTTAATTAATTTCCAGTTATTTCAGTAGTTTGATCCTAAAATGCAAAATCGGCCGTTGGCTTAACATACCTTATTTCTTTTTACCTATACTCACAGCTTTAACTTTTCACATAATGCCTATTTGAAGGCTAAATATTTTTTATTACGTCTAGAGCTGCAAATACGCGGACGGCTATCGCAGGACAACACACATCGGTAGGTAAGTATATTCTTACGACGTGGGGGATCTTTTTATGAGTTGCGAAAGGAGGACGGGTAGAATAATGTCTCTATTTTGCCTACGATCGCAATTGGCAACGCAAGCCGATCAATGAAAACACCTGGAACATTCTACGAAATCGAAGTAATGTAGAGAGAAAGAATATTGAAAGAGGGAAAGTACTGTCGATACACTGTGTAAGGTCGTTGCACCGATCCGTGCACGGACAAGAAATTGTAGAAGAAATAATATAAAGAGGAGGTACGGTCAAACGAGGCTATTTGAAGCGTTCATGGTTAGAAGTGTAAGGCGATATGAATATGGGAAAGGGCACTGTTATGGAAATGTGGATTTTTAAAAGAACCACGAGAGAAAATACGGGAGACGATAGTAGGCGAACGAGAAGGAGGGAAGGTACGAAAAAGGGCGTACTTTTAGAGACTTGTGAATTTTTCACAAGGATAATACGGCTCAGGGTAGATCCTGCTATTAGGCGAAAGGAAGGACAAATTTTCTTTTCTTCTCGACGCTATACGCGGCAAACGAAACGATTCAGGTCGAAAGGGAAGACGGTAAAGCTTTACCTCGACCTTTACTTATACCATTGTCCTTACGTATACCATATCCATCTGTCAACCTTCGTCGATGTTAAAAAAGCAAAGCAAAAGGAATATATCGTGAACATACTTTTTATTTTTCTCTCTCCTTACTAACCCCACTCTAACCTTCGCACCACCCCCATAATCGTTCAATTTATATAGCGCTAAGTGGAGCCGCTTCTTCCCCGTCCGATCACCATTACTCAAAGTAAGCGAAGGAGCTTTTTCTTTTAGTGCCAAAGCAGATATCGATAGGTAGAACCTTCCTTCGGGTAATTAAGTGCTTTCCAACCATTAGTCAAGCTAAAACCTCCCTCGCGCTCGATCCTCGATAACGAAGACGGCAGCACTCGTGATCTAATCGTACTTTAATTACACAGAATTCGAGTAACAATTGAAGCCGTTTCATACTACTGACTGACTAACTAGATATATCTTAGGAGTCTTCTATTTCCTCTCTGTATCGCGAAAGCAATAAAACAATGATTATATATAATACAAAGCAATTCGAAAATTACAAGAAATAAACTACAATGAACGAATATAAAAGAACGTATGTATTTACGTAACTACACGTTTTCGTTATCCGTCACCATCAACCTTCTCCTTCTTCTCGTTATAAGTGGATTCGTGAAAATCAAACTTTTTCCAAGATAATGATAAATCGATCGACCCTACGATAAATTATCGTTGAAAGTTAGCCGCCAACGAGAACGAGAGGATGACGGGACGGACCGATGACTCTCTTTGGGACCTCTTTCTCTTCGTAGCCTAAAACCGTCGTTCCGGTTCCGTCGATAATGTTAATAAATTCAAGAGAATTCGGCCGAGCTCGTAGCTACGATGAAATACGTCGGAGAAATTTGCGTGAACGAGATATCGATCCGTCGAGCATCGAACAGTCTTTTCATGCCAGTCAGTCGGCCGACTGCTGCGCCAGCGAAGGTCCGCTTCGCTCTTCGGATACGCATCGCAGCGTACCACCGATGACGCCTAATTGCATAAATAATTCAACGGACACGGCCGCTGCAGTTATAGTTATTGTCCGGGTATAACGAAGCGTCAGACTGTTATTCATCGGTTAGC